TTGTAATATCTTTGAATTCTATTTTTATTTAATTATTTGCTGGACCAACAAAATCAAATAATTAATACGATATACTTCTTTTTTATTTTTAATCACATTTGCATTCTTCCATGATAATTTCTGTAATTAAGTTGATCACCAGCAATATTTTTACGTAAAAAATTCAAATATCAGAACTATTAAAGAAAACACTTTTTACTCTTTTTGATTTAAAAAAGTATGTACCCTTTTATCTGCAGCTAAATTTCAGAAGCAATTTTGACTGTGAATAAATTGAATATGTTCTTCTCTGAGTTTATGCCCAATTTAAAAACCAACAAAAATCTTATTCATATATATTTAATGTAACTACGCCATCACATTTTATTTATTTAGCAATGTTGTGAAAATCTTTTTTTCAAACATATGAAGCCATGTTTATTAATTTAAAAGTTTTAATTTGTTTTTGCTGTCAGTCATTATTTCTTAATTATTTCCAAATTTAGGAAACCTTATAAAAAATGTGTCTAGAGTTAATCTATCATTATATCTAGAAATATATATAATGATAGATTTGAATAGAAATAGAGAATTATATCTACAAATTTTCCAAGAACAGTACTTTGTAAGACCTTTGCTCTTCACGTTTATCAAATTGTTTGTCCGAATATTAATCCCATAATCACTTGCACTGCATAAAGTAGTTCTATTTTTAGAACTCAAACGGTACGCTATTTGATATCCTTTATTTTGAGATAATTGATAATTTAAAATCATGCAGCATAGAATATACATCATCAGACCATTTGTTTTTAACAGTTTCATCATAGCAATAAAAATAGTATATATTTTGGTTTCAAACTTTTAGGTATTTTACTTTTTTTTTGGAAATCCAAGCAAATTACTTAACAATTTAAAGCCTGATGAGTTGGAAGACATGTAGTTCTTTTCCTCTAACATTTAAGCTTTTTTCTCATTGAGCTGGAGCAAATCCAAAACATTCTTTTTTTGCAATATATTGTTAGCAGTATGAAAATCAGAATATTATTGAGTCGATTTTTTATATTGAAAAAAAAACTTATTTTATCTATATCTATATATATATATATATATATATCTATATATCTATCTATATCTATATATCTATATATCTATATATCTATATATATATATATATATATATATATATATCTCTCTCTCTCTCTCTCTCTCTCTCTCTCTCTATATATATATATATATATATATATATATATATATATATATATATATATATATATATATATATATATATATATATATAGTTTTTTTTTAAATGTTTTTCTGTGAACGTAATGTTTACTTCATCTGACGTATTTTTCTTAAGGATAAAATTAAGTCATGTGACTTACACTTTTATTATCATTGGTTTAGTTATAAATAACTTGGACAAATGTGTTTTTTACCCAGTAAACATTGGACAAAAGTAGTTGTTTCAAAGTTGCCCTTTTTTTTAAATGACCATAGAACCTTAAAACATAGTTTTTTTGTTACGAATTTTTAAATTAAAATAGCTTAGTACTAAAGTATCATAAAAATATCAAAAACTTGAAATTTTGTGGACATCTGTGGTTTTACCTGTATGGTCTTCATATGTTATTTATTTGTAAAAGTTTTTATTCAATCAAAATTATTCTAGTTCTTATGACAAAATTTTTGAGTTTTCAAAAATGACAGTAGATATAAATGTGACAGTATAAGTATAGATAAATGTGACAGTATAGTAGATATAAATGTGACAGTACTATGACAGTAGATATAAATGTTTTATAAAACAAAATCAATGGTTAAATCCAAATTTAAACAAATTGATTTGAATGATTGAAAAATAAAACATGGATATAAACTTGGCTTGAAACTCACTTTCTTGTACAAATTTAAATATGTTAAATTAATAGCCATTTTGCTTGAAATTAGTTTTTCTATAAATGAATAAATAACAGGTTTAAACTTCTTGAATTACTAGTAAATCTGTTCATAAAGCTTAAAATATAAATAAAATTTTTTTTATTAGATAAATATTTTATAATTCTTATAAAATAACATTATAATATTTTTATTAGATAAAGTTTTCAGTTTTTACATCACAACACCATAAAATTGATATATTATTATATATTAGGAGTGTTCAAAAAAATAAAATTTTCAAAAAACAAATACACAAGAAGCTTAATTTGGGGCAAGTATTATTGTAACTCAGCTTTACAAATTGACAGATTTACACGAATACACAAGAAGCTAAATTTTTGGGGATATTTTGCCACTTGAGTACAAAGTAAACGTCAATATTTTTGTAATTTTTTTTTTGTAATCATATTTTTTTTATATTTACCCTAAATTTAGCGTCTTGTGTATACCCATTTTGAATTTTTTTTTTTTTGAATACCTTTTATATAGCAGTATACCCTAACTTGTTTAAACCTGTCAAGTTTTGTGCTGTCAGTTATCCTAAATTTTTTTTATAATTTTTTTCAATAAGATTATTTTAAAATTATAAAATTGTTTTACAGAATTAATGATCCAAACATTACTCAAGTTACATATTTAAAACCTTTTACATTTATAGAGAAAATATGCATGTATTTATAATTTTTATTTTGAATGAAATTTGAAAAAAACTAATTTTTAATAGAGGTAGTTTGAATAGTACAGGGTTGTCCAACGCGTGACCCGCGGGTCACAAAGTGGCCCTCGTTGTCTTTTGCCATGGCCCGCGTTTTCAATTCTTAACTTATCAAAAACCATTCAAAACTTTTAACAAAATCAAGTGAATATTATATTTTTAAAACTATTTTTTCTGTAGCTCAGAATTAGGGGAGTTTTTTAATATAATTTTAAAAATCAGATTTTTTTTAAAATTGCAACACGGTTAAAACTACCGCCTTATTTTTTTTATAAAACCGGTTAAATCGGTATTGACTATTTGGTTAGCGGAACCATAGTTATATTGATTTTTTTTTTAAATATGGCTTCTGCTAGTGCTAATAAAAGACGTAGAGCTGAAACTGAAAGTGGAAGAGGAGGTCGTCAATTTAACCCATCTTGGACAAATGAATATTTTGTAATAGAGCAAAATAATTCAATTATGTGTCTCATTTGTTTTGAAAAAATTGCCGTGTGCAAAATGTATAATGTTAATAGACACTATACTACAAAACATGCAGCAACTTATGATAAATTCAAGGGCCAATTTCGTGTTGATAAGGTAGAACTGCTAAAGAAAAATTTTATCGGGCAACAATCAATAATGAAAAGTAAAGTAATTAGCTCATACAGTGCTACCAAAATAAGTTTTTTAATTGCAGAAAATATTGCAAAAAGTGGTCAACCTTTTTCTACTGGAGATTTAATAAAAAACTCTATAAAACAATTTTGTAATGAGGTATGCCCTGAAAAAATACAATTTGCTGAAGATCTCAGTCTTTCACACCAGACAATTGCAAGAAGGGTTGAAGATCTATCAAAGAATATTGAATTAGCATTGAAAGAAAAACTATGTAAGTGTGAAGCATATAGTCTGGCACTTGATGAATCAACAGATAGAAGTGATACGGCTCAGTTAGCTATTTTTATTAGATTTATAACAAGTAATTTTGAAATAATTGAAGAACTGTTGGATTTCAGGCACATGAAAGGCACTACTAAAGGGGAAGATATTCTTTCTGAAGTCAAAAAAACAATGATAAAGTTTGATTTGCCAGAAACAAAACTCTCTGGTGTCACTACAGATGGAGCAAGTTCAATGAAAGGAAAAAATATTGGATTTGTGGCATTATTTAAGAAATCCATTAATCACAACATTCTTTCATATCACTGTATTATACATCAGGAACAGTTATGTGCAAAAGTATAAGAAATGAAAGAAGTCATGGAAATTGTTATCCAAACTGTTAATTTTATAAGAAGTCGTGGCCTTAATCACAGACAGTTCAAACAATTGCTTGAGGATTGTGGAAGTGAGGCAGAAGATGTAATTTATTTCTGCCAAGTTAGATGGCTTAGTCGAGCTGCAACTTTGAAAAGATTTTGGATATTAATACCTGAAATAATAAAGTTTCTAAAAATTAAAGATAAAGACACAAGCTTTCTTGAAAATAATGACTGGCTGAATGATTTGGCATTTTTAGTTGACATTACACAGATGTTAATGGAATTAAATATCAAGTTGCAGGGTAAAGATCAACTTATTAGTAAATTATATGAAAATGTAGAAACATTTGTTTTGAAATTGAAACTTCTCAAACAACAATTAAGTCAAAAATCACTTATCCATTTTAAAACATTGTCAGAAAGAAATACCAACACAGTTGACTATGAAAAATATTGTAATCTTATTTTAAAAGTAATTGATGAATTTGACACAAGATTTTGTGATTTTAAAGAAGAAAAGAATGAGTTAGACTTATTTTCACATCCATTTTCCATTAAAGTTGAGACAGTAAGAGATGAATTTCAAATGGAATTAATAGAACTACAAAACAATAAAGATTTGAAAGATGCTTACAAAGATGTTGAATTGTTAGAACTTTATAAAAAATACATGAACATTGAAGTTTATCCACATTTGTGCAAACACGCTATGAAATACTTTTCCCTTTTTGGAAGCACATACATCTGTGAACAATTTTTTTCAAGAATGAAACATGTTAAATCAGAGCAGAGACATAGGTTGAAAGATGAACACCTCACTGATACACTTCGGATTTCATCGTCCACTATAAAAGCTGACATTGATCAATTGTGTAAAAATAAACAATGTCAAGTTTCCCATTAAATACATTTTTTTTGACAATATTGAAATGGAATTAGTTGTTTTAAATTAGAAGTTTAAACAAAATGATTTTTCTTAATTTGTGGCCCTCGTGTTTTCATCAAAATAAAATAATGGCCCAGGCTGTAAAAAGGTTGGACAACCCTGGAATAGTATATACTTTGGTAGTTTTTAATGTTGTGTTTACTAACTTTTAATGATTAATTGATTTTAGATGTAATGAAACGTGTCCTGCTGGCACTTATGACCAAGGATGTCGGATGAATTGTACATGTAAAAATAATGCAACGTGCAATCCTATTGATGGAAAATGTAATTGTAAACCTGGATGGAAGGTACTTTTAATATTTATTAGTTTGTAAATTTCATCTTATTATAAACAATATTGCATTATATATTATTGCATTTATGTTATATATTATCATTGTATTTGCATTATTTATAATGATACAAATTTAAATTATATATTATGATATAAATTTAAATTATATATTATGATATATAATTTAAATAAAGTATTATTATGATGTTGTAACATAATTTAAGTTTTATGACTATTATAAATATTTGTATTTATATTTATATTATATTATAAATATTTGTATTCTGCTAAATATAACTTTTTAAGGTTTCCATTATAAAAATGTTTGTATTTATAAAAAAATCAGCAACAAAAAAAAGTGATTTTGCTTAATTTAATTAAATTTTGGAAATTTTGCTATTTCTTTCCAACTCCTAAACATTCTCTAGCAGATAAAGGGCAGTTGCAAGACAATTTTAAAATGAAATTTTTAAATTTTCTTGAAAAGGTTTTGATTGGTTAATAATAAGAATAAGTTGTAAGACTCTTGATAAAATAATAGAGGTTCTTTGATTAAAAATTTTGCTGTCAATAAAAAAAGATAGTTAAAAAAATCAGAGCAGTTTACAGAGTTTTTTTATTAATTTAAATTTTCCAAGATTTGATTAGACTTAAAATGTTTGTCAAATTAGTTTAGAAGGAGAGTTCAATAGTTGTCTGAATCTCAAGCTTTAGAGAATTTTATGTGACTTTAAAGCATTATGTTTAAGAGGTGAATTAGAAAAAAGAATCTTTGTAAATAGTTCTGTCTTATCCTACAAAGTGGTAATGAAATAAGATAAAATGAAAAAATAAAAATGTTCAAAGAGTAAGAATGTTCAAAAGTCTCAAGAAACTTCTGAAATAAAATTTTTATTAAATAGATTTAGTAGTCGGAGAATAATTGTTATTAGCAGTAATAACAAGTAAAAATAAACAAAAGTAACAGGTAATATTTTTTTGCATCAATTACTTGCAATGATCAAAAGGCATTAGTTCTCCAAAAAGTTAAAAAAATTTTAAATTTCGGAACCATTTCCTTCTAACCATAATATTATTATTATTTTTAATGGACAACATTTTCCTACACTATTGGATAACACTTTCCTTGGTCTTGTTTCATTTTGTTATCTTTCTGATAATCTTACCTCTGAGGTAACTCTACTTGGTGATGATACAAATATAAACTTTTGTCTAATAAAAAAATGTTATTTTTTTTAATCACTTTGAACAGCCATCTTTTAAAATTGGTCTTACTTCAGTGACACTTTATGGCCGGTAAGATTTAACACAAAGAAAACCTAAACCCTACAAATAATTATCACATATTTTTATATATTTTTTATGATTTAAACTTTTAAATTGTTTTTTCTTTTGCTTGTTATTTTTTTCTTCTTGAGTCAAATGACAAATAATAAACTAGAGCACAAAATAGTAGGTCAAAACAAAATGGGAGGTTAAAACAACAATTTTGATCATTTCAGGTGGTCAGTGGTCAACAACCACCTGAAATGATCAAAATTGTTGTTTTGACCTCCCTTAATGAATTCTTGCCTGTCAAAGGTTTAAAAAAATCTTAGTTTGAAAAAATCATTTACAAACAACTTGGATGTAAAATAATAAATATTCATACAGAATCCTGTTAACTTGGACTCTGAAAGGGTATATATATTGTCTGACTTAGCGTATGTTTGTATTAAGTAAAGTTCTTGTTCTGTTGAACTTTTAGAAAGTGACCAACTTATCAAGATTTTGAATCTTATAAAATGTTCTTCAATATATAAATATTATGTGAAATATATATAGAACTATATAATCTTATGTGAAATATATATTTTTTGTATATATAATATATACTATAAACAAAAAAAGTCTGAGATTGATGTATGCTTCAGTGACTTGGAAAATTATTTTTGTTTTTGATATAATTGCTTTGGAATGCCATATTTCTTTAATATAGATACAGATACATATCTCCTCTGTCGAGTTATTTTACTTATATGTACTTTTCTTTTATAGTTCTACTAGTTCTTTTAACAGCTTTTTGATATTTTTAATATATAAAATTTAATCAAAGATTAATGAATTAAAGATATCAGTGAAAATGTTTAGTTTGTTAAATTATATTTGATGCAAAGGTATTTAATTTTCAAATGTACTAAGTTTTGAATTTTAATTGTTTTTTTAAAATTTTTTAATATACAGTAAAATGGGAATACTTGGGTCAAGAGTTAGACATCTTACCTAATAATTTTTAATGCATAATATCTACAGAATTGGTTATTATATATTATAATAATCATATTAACCCCTTTTTTTCTGCTGGAAATATAAATTGTGGCATTAAAATTATTGATATAATTTTGAATCATTTTATACCTGACTCAAGTTAAGCTGATTTTAGGGTTACTTAGGTCAGTTATTCTGAATGCTTTGAATTTTTTCAATAAAGTTATTTTTTTTTAATTTATTTAGATGCCCCAAGAAGTTTATTTTTAAATTAAGTCAAATAAGTTTAAAATTTTTGAATTTAAAATTTATTTGACTCCATTCTCCATTCTCCATAAGTATTTTTGTTAATAAAAACAAACCTTCAGTATAGGGGTGTCCACTATGCAAAAAATTTTCAAAACCACCCAAACTGAATTTTTTCCCATTCTAGTGTTTGTGTATAATGTAAAAAAAATTTTTATCAAATTTTAATAACTATTCTAGAGCCCCCTCAGAGCCCCAAAAGACAAGCCCCAATTTCCTGTTTAAAACAGTATCTTTTTTAGTTAAAACACAGAGAAATAATTATTGTGAATCTCATTTTTCAAGTATTTAGAAATTAAATCACAGAAATCAAGCCAAGCAAAAGCAGCTTGCATAATATATGTTAAATTATCCAGTTTAACCAAGCTAGTTCTGCATTTTTGGTTAACAGTTATTGTCAAAGTATCAGACGGGAACCCCAAAACTAAAATTAAGACTGTCTTTCTGAATGTTATTAATGTTGTTTCATTGTCCAAGAGTTTTTTTGCCAAAATCAGGATATTGCTGCCTGTGATTTTCAACACCCTGCAGCAACCATTCTCTTTGTTCTGGATCACTGATTATGATGGTGGCAAATTCTGAAATCAGTTTAAGTCCTCTTTCTGCTGTATCATTTACAACTTTTACCATACAAACAAATTTTTCAGCTTCTTTGTATCCTGGTTGCTCTGTCCACTGTTCAATTGGTTTAGCAAGCCAATCTGTATTGATGCCAAGAATGCTGAACAATGAGTGAGATTCATGTCCCAGAAGATTTGACAAACCTGTTTGACGAGTGATTTGACGAAAAACTGGCTTACCAAGAGGAAAATTTTCAGGTACTGGAATTTCCAAGAGTTTGGCTGCCATATCTTTTTTCACAGTAGAACTAACATGTTTGCTGAAGAAAGCAAATGGAACTACCTCTTCTGTCAAATACCATCGATGATTGGTTATTTTAGAAAGAATGACATCAGCAACTTCCTTGTCTATTTCTTTGTAGTCCATCATGTCGTGGATGAATTGGAGGTCATTCATAGGTGCATCAGCACCAATGCTAGCTTTTGTCCAAGCTGGTGTGTGGAAAAGAGAAAGATATCTGTTTTTTTTTCTAAAAAGTTTAGTTGTCATCCTCTGATCATAAGGCAATTGTTTAGAAAACATGAACATTTTGTTCGCATAAATGTTACATGCCATCCACCGAGCTTGGTGGATAGCTCCTGGTTTAAGAAAGTGTACACCCTGCGGTGGAGTTTGCCCAAAGATGATCAATGTGTTCTCAGCACATTCACGATAGTCATCACTTGGAATTGTTGTAGCATCTTCATTAGCAAGTAGATGTGTCAAATGCTGTATGGTCTGTTCTTTGAGGTTTTGCAACCAGGTGCCTTCAACAGCTAAAGTTTCGATTAGCAACTGTTTATCCAATGCTGGCCAAGCAGTTTTAAATTCAGCAAAGAATATATTCTCTGGACCAAAAATGTTTCCAAATGATTTCTTCCAACATGCTCCAACAAAGATTTCAAAAATGTGATATCAACCTAAGTTTTCTTCAATCAATTTAGCAGCACCATTGTGGATGTCACTTACTAGCAGTGGTATCAAATACCAATGCAACAACATGTTGCTTAGATCCCAAGCTTCTAGGAGATCCAATGTTGCATTTGCTTGAGTCTGTCCTTTCGAATTAACGAGAACGGGAACATCAAGCAATTTTTCCTCACTGTATTCTGGAGCACCCGACACAAGCACAGCTAACTGTTCATGTTGCACGTCTAGTATGTCTTTTAGCAATTTTCCATCCCAGTGAAGGGCACCAAACTGGGGTGGGTTGAGCCTCACATTATCTATAACACTCTCAGCAATCCTCTGTCAATTTATCATTCTAATTCGACCAGATGTCGATCTGGCGATATCAAAATTGTCCAAGTTTCCACCAGCAGCTTTAATTACAGCAGACACAATCATAGTTGTTTTATTATCAGACAATTTCAGCCTGTCTCCTGCAGAAGTGATTTCCTCGCATTGTATAATTCTGCTGCAGAAGTGATTTCCTCACATTGCATAATTCTTTTGGGGAGGTGAAGAGTAACAAATTCTGATCGTCTATTCATTGGAGGTTCATAATTCATATATATATATATATATATATATTTATATAAAAAGTAATATATTAATTTATAATAATTTCTCTGTTTATATTTAAAACAATTTAATAGAAATAAGGTTCTGTTTTTAATGTAATCATTTTTTCCTTAATTCTCCTTACTTTTTCTTTCAAAAAATTGTTGTTTGCGACCAAATCTCCTTAAATATTAGTAAAATATCTCCTTAAAATCTTACTGTAAGCACAGTTTTAATTCCTACCCTGAAACTGGAACCCTGCTTTTATTAAAACTTGATTAAATTTTTTATTTTGTTCTTTTTTAAATAATTTCTGTTAACTTATATTCTGTTGTTAGATAAAAGTGTTCATTGAAT